GAACCAGTGAGTTAGGGTTTGATGTACATATGAGAATAATACTGATGTGGCTCCAGTTGAATGGTAGTATTCAGTTGCGGCAGCTGATAAAGGATACACTGTCCTTTGTGCAGGCCTTTGTAACCCCAATCACATTGGCGGTTCCGCACATTTATATTTCAGCGTTTGCGTTGGCACCACGGAGGTCCCTGGTAAAAAAATTATATTCACGCCAAGTATCAGGAGTTATCAAAATTGAAATTGGAGAAGATCTGGCTTGGCATCCACTTCAGGCAGTGTTGCGTGACCACACAGCGTGCGTGACATCTGTTGCTTTCTCGCCCGATGGAAAGTGGGTAGTCTCGGGGGCTGATGACCACACAGCTCGAATCTGGGATGTAGAGATGCACCGGCAAGTTGGGATGCTCACTGGCCACACAGATCTGGTGACCTCAGTCGCTTTCTCCACCGATAACAGGTGGATCGTGTCAGGATCCAGAGACTGCACAATCCGCATTTGGAATGCGAAAACTCATCAACAAACTGGTCTACCACTTACTGGCCATACCACTGGTGTCCTATCTGTGATGTTTTCCCCTGACAGTCAGCGCATCGTCTCGGGTGCCGGTGATGGGGATTATACGCTGCGAGTTTGGGATGCTGAGACCGGCCAGCAGTTGGGGAAAGATTTTACTGCCCACACACGTGATGTCACATCCGTTGCTTTCTCTCCCAACGGCACTCATGTCGTCTCTGGATCACATGACCGTACCGTTCGAATCTGGAGTCCAGATGAACAGCAACAAATTGGAAAAACACTCGTAGGCCACACAGATGGAATTAGATCGGTCACCTTCTGCCCCAATGGCACACATATTGCCTCAGGCTCACATGATCGCACCATTCGATTATGGGATGCATCAACCTGCGAGCAGATTGGGGAAACCATTGCTGCTCACACAGATCATGTTGCATCTGTCGCATTCTCTCATGATGGCAAGCTCATTATATCTGGCTCGTCTGACCACACAATCAAAATATGGGACGTAGAGACTGGGGAGCAGATAGGAGAGGCACTTGATGCCCACACGAACCCTATCAGATCTGTTGCCATTTCCCCGAATGGCAAACATGTTGCTTCAGGAGGCAATGACTGCACAGTTCGAATCTGGAGCACAGAGACCCATAATCAGGCTGCTAATAGGCCCACCGGACACACAAACCGTGTCACATCTGTCATGTTTTCCCGTGACAATAAACATATCATCTCTGGCTCTGATGATAACACTATTCGGATCTGGGATGTAGATACACTCCAACAGGCTGCACAGATATCTGCCTCTTCAGTGACATCCGTCGCCCTCTCTCACGATGGGACCCGTATTGCGTCTGGATCTAATGAATCCACAGTGCAAATCTGGGACATGCAGACTTGTGAACATATTGAGGAGATACATGCGGACCACCCATTCAGTGTCACCTCTGCTTCTTTTTCGCATGACGACACTCAAATCGTTGTGGGCTCAGGCAACCCCATAGTTCGAATCTTCAACATAGAGACCCAAATGGAAGTAGGAAATTTGCCCAGTGGCCATGGTCGGCATCCTCTTCAAGAGATTTTGCACCACCACACGAAATGTGTGACATGTGTTGCCTTCTCCCACAATGGTCACATCTTTGTGTCAGGTGCTGATGACTGCACGGCTATAATTTGGGATGCAGAGACCTACCAGCAGATTGGGATACTTTCTGGTCACACAGACCAGGTGACATCAGTTGCCTTCTCCTCCAACGACCGGCATCTTGTGTCGGGATCAAGTGACTGCACAGTTCGAATCTGGGATTTGATAACTTACCAACAGGTTGGACAGTCACTCACCGGCCACACCATTAGTGTTCTAGCTGTGGCGTTTTCACCCAACAACAAGCACATTGCGTCGGGTGGCGGTGATTACAAAGTTCGAATCTGGAATTTAGAGACCAACCAGCATCTGAAGGAGCTCACAGGCCACACACATGATGTCACATCCGTTGCTTTCTCTCCCAACGGCACTCATGTCGTCTCTGGATCACATGACCGCACCGTTCGAATCTGGAGTCCAGATGAACAGCAACAAATTGGGAAAACACTCGTAGGCCACACAGATGGAATTAGATCGGTCACCTTCTCCCCAAATGGCACACAGATTGCCTCAGGCTCACATGATCACACCATTCGATTATGGGATGTAGCGACCTGTCTGCAGATTGGGGTGGCCATTGTTGCTCACACAGATCATGTTGCATCTGTTGCATTCTCCCGTGATGGGAAGCACATTGTCTCTAGCTCTTCAGATTGCACAATAAAAATGTGGGATGCAGAGACCCAGGAACAGATAGGGGAAAGTTTTGAAGGACACACAGAGTCAGTCAGATCTGTTGTATTTTCTCCTGAAGGGAAGAAACTTCTCTCAGGAGGGAATGACTGCACGGTTCGAATTTGGTGTGCACAGCATCACAATATGGCAGCACAAAATGCTGATGCTGGACACACGGCTCGCGTGACTTCTGTCCACTTTTCTCCAGACAAGAAATACATTGTGTCTGCCTCTGATGACCACACCATCCGAATCTGGGACGCAGATACACACCAGCAAGTTGGGGAGCCATTTACTGGCCACACTGACTCTGTCGTGTCTGTCGACATCTCCAAAGATGGAAGGAGGGTTGTTTCAGGGTCTTCTGATTCCACACTGCGTGTGTGGAATGTAGAAAGCCACCAGCAGATTGGAGAGGCAATGGTCGGACACGATGCTGGTGTCACATCTGTTGCTTTCTCCCCCGATGACAAGTACATTGTTTCAGGCTCATATGACTTCACGGTCCGAATATGGGACTCATACACATGCCGCCAGGTTGGTCGGACTTTTGCTGGACATGTGCATGGCGCGACATGCGTGGCTTTCAGCCCCGATGGCAAATATGTGGCTTCGGGTTCTGATGACTGTACAGTCCGAATTTGGGATGTACAATTAGAAGAAAATCAGATGGATGCTCCACATGGTAAGCTGCAGTTTGTCAAATTTATTGGAGTGTTAATCTTCTGCAGCCCCCGCGTACCCTGGTCCTATCAACATTCTGCAACCCGGGAGAAGCTATTTTTCCACAGCGATCACTCTGAGATCAGACAACTGGCTTGTTGGCCCAAAAAACGAACACCTGCTGTGGATTCCGGATCACCTCAGGCCCAGGTTGCCATTTTATGGCCTCATTGGCATATGTGGAGGCCCACCAATGGTCCAATTCAATATCTCGAACTTTCATCATGGAGAACAATGGATAAGGTGCTGGCCTGATGCAGTGTAGTACTTTCAACGAGTGTCAGAGTCTGCTGTGTGCCGATCCCCTCATGTTCATTAATATATGCAAGATCGAAAACAAAAAATGTACCTACCAATAAACATGGAAATATCTGGCGTGTGGCCACGGCGACCTCGCAATCACCCAGTGCAGCTCTCGGGTGAAGGAAGTTGAAAATTGACTCGCTCGCCTACGGACTGGCAATCTGCAACCGACTAGCAGAACTCCAGTTTATGGGTGCAGAGGATTAGCTACATTCCCTTAAGTCAGGTTTCCAGTATTTGCAAACAATTCAGTTGGTGTAGGGACCACCGAAAAAATCTGCAGGGTGGCTGTGTTAGTGCCGCAACCGACTGCCGCACTCGTTCTTGAGCTGATTTCCAACTCATGCAGGCTTTATATGAAAAACCAATACCTCTTTCTCACTTGTGCGACGTATCTAGATAATCAATAATTGAATTGGTTTAGGAATGGTGGTTGCCAAAGATTTTCGTGGTGAACAGTGCCGCAGTCAAAGGTGAAAGAGTACCTCGTATTGCGCTCTGGATGCTCCAACATTCAGTAACGTATAGAGGTTTATTAATCAACCTACGTATCCAACTGTGTGGTGGAGACGGAGAAAGTAATAATTTTGTCAAATCCTCGAGCACTCCGATCACCGATGAGACGAGCCTTGTTGACATCCAATGCGCCGACTTGAGTGGTGAGAGATTCAGAGGACTAATTCTGTGCTTGGTGTGATGGTGAGTTCCAGACATATATTGCCGACAGACCCAAAAGCTACCGCGTAGTGCCGCAACTTGCTTGACCATGTTGAAAATTTGCCACAGACATGTCAACTGCCGCAAGTGGCTGCCGCAGACTGATGCAGAATGGATGCGGCAAAATACCAAACTGCCGCAGCTGTGCATGAGTTTGCCGCAGCCATTCATGGTTTTGCTGCATGTAATTGCCGCAGAGTGCCGCAGCCAGTCACGTTGTATTTGTTTGGTTGCCGCAGGTTGCCGCAGCCAAGTTGCTGTATCAACCCCCAAGGCATTGAACAGTGCAGGGGACATATAAATGGGTGTCTAAAGACCAATATGGGCAAGAATTTAAAGCCCGTGGCCGTCGATGCACGCAGTTTGATTTTTGATTTCTGCGGCAGTGCAACATAATTGCCGCAGGTTGCCGCAGCCACTGGCTGCGGCACTTTCTCTTTGCCCTCCTGGGATCCCATCTTGGCAGGAGATGGTCGAGTCTTGACTCGGCCGCTTTTGCGCACGAATGAGGGTTTGTGCAGTTTGTATTGCTTTTGTCTGCCTTGCACAGAGCACATTGGCAGTTTGGAGTGGGTGTGTGTTCATGGTTCTGCAGTCTCTTCATCAATGTCGGAAAATCCAAATTTGAGTAATAAGGAGATATTTGGTAATATATGGCCTGACCAGTTGATCAGGTCGCTGGGGGGTCTGTAACTTTCAAAAAGGGATTATAACATTGGATCAGGGCTTATCGGCCTTATCGCCTTATAGTCCCTGATCAGCCTTACGGGGACCTATCAGGCATCATCAGGATCGGGCCGAAAAAGGGGAAAATGGAATTCTCCAGTGCCCCGGTACCCGGCAGTACTACCGGATCATTCGGAGGGCAACTGGTCACATTAGTACTACAGTAGTAAGTTAGACGAGTTAAGTAATTAAATGTGTTTTCAACGAGGTTCGAACCCAAGACCATGCGTAAAGAGATAAAAAGCCGGGAAACGCACCATAACCACTAAGTCATAATAAACTTATAAGTAAGGAAAATCTATTGACTACATAGCAATCTTCTTTTGCCTTATATGTCCTGACATCATCTAACATCTCCATATCGTCGATTCGTGGCTACAACAATACCTCAGAAACGGAACGTTCAAAGGGGCGTTATTGAAAAATCAGGTAACGTTTCAGAGGGCTATCAGAAGCCATTTGTTAATAATACAAAAATATTCAATTACGTTGGCGGTTCAGGTACGATCACCGTCTTCTAAGGGCGCCGAGCCGGCGTCATCGTCCCCACCAGCATCATCGCCTTCTGCGCCAGCGTCGGCGTCTTCGGCAGCCTGCCTCTCCGCCATCAGAGCCTCCATCGCCTTCTTGTGGCCGGCGCTTCTCCCGGTACTGGTCCTCTTGCCGTATCCGGACTGGGAGGTGGGGAAGATGACTCGGTCCCATTCAGCAAAGACATTGAGAATGCTGGTGCTCTTGTCTCGCAAGCCTACAATTAGAATTTCTAGATACTCGTCGAAAAGCGCGTCGTAATCAATGTTGGTTCGATCCCCGCGATCACGGAGACATGTGTCCGCAGATAAGGCCCAGATCGCCTACAAAATCGCGTTTAGCATCGCTCGCCTCGAGGACAAAGGCAAAACATTATGGATAACCACATACCAAGACTGCTGAGCCCGCAATGGCGCCCGGTTCTGTGTGAGTGAGCCCATGAATGTGCTCCATATTGTCTGACTTCGGAATATTCATGACAACTGCATTGGCGTCGCGTTTGCCGGCTTCCAACATCGCAGTCGCGGCAGTGGGACCACGGATGAGCGCCACATAGAGCTGAATACAATTAGTCGGCGTCAACGGTCAAATTTAATTTCCGACTCACTCGCATCAACCGCACTGATATGTAATAAATGTATCTTTTCCGATGTTAAGAGGCAACGCTGACCATGCCTGATACGACCTGGCATTGCCTGATAGGTCTGTTCGCCAAACCTGATAGGGCCTGATACATCCGCCAGACCTTATCAGCCAAATTTGGATTTTCCGACACACTGACCTACCGTCTTTTATCAGACGGACATTATGGTTCACTCGCAGGCATTTGCATGGTGCGGAGTTGTTGCATTGTATCAAGTGAATATTTGCCTTTGAACGGACGGAAGATCACTGTACTCACGTCTCCGGAAGCAAACACGATAGAAATTCCACGCGCGCCAAGGGCCATATAGCTGTTGCAAATATTCCTGGAGAATTATTGAAATATAAATACCTACAAGTTTCTGACCAAGACGAAAGGCTCACGTAGCCAGGCTAACGCCAAATTGGTCTTCGTTTCCTCCATAGGAAGTGGTAATAACCGTTGGCGGGTTGTCGACGCCGTCCAGGAAAGTTGTCGTCTCCAACAAGTTCTGGGGAAAACCATCTGTAATCCCACCAACCGTTAGGAACTGCATACGTATATTAGTGGGGTCGCTTTCACCATCTTCAGCGGCTCACATACCTAAGTGGTCACATACGTTGCAATGCCTGGAGGTTGAAAATTATTGGTTTACTGAAGTCAGGTGGGGCAACTTACCAACGGTATATTCGACATCGAGATCGGCCTCAGATCCTCCTATACCGGGAATCTGAGGGTTTTCACCACCGTTGAGAGTTACCAGTTGGAAGGTTGTGTTTGAAGCAATATCGGGACGCAGGAGTTGGAGAAATAGCTAGGCATGATTGTAATGAATAAGTACCTAGCCAAATGCAGCTAGCTGAATCAAACAAGAACCTGAAGATCTGAAGTTTGCGCCCATTCAAAGTCGTAGGCAGTCACGAGAAGTGTATTGTTTGGCTGCGTTGCAGGGGTCGTCGGGATGCCATACAAATCTTGCAAGCAAATAGGCGTGATGAGACCAGACCTGTTGGTAGTATCACACGATGCGGGCACTGTCGCGCGCTTAGTCAATTTGCGATGGGCGGCGGGCACGATGGGAGAGCTGGGTTCGACGAATTCTGTCGTAGGACGAATTACATCGACGTGGCCCACCAGCTGAGACGGCAGTGACACGGAGAGCGTTCGAGTTATGGACGTCTTGAGGTTGGGATGATTAAACGTGTGAAGTTCGCTGCGAAGAGGGCGTTCGCCTGCGAGACGGGGAGCGTGAGAGAAACCCAGTCGCCATTGGGTGAGATAACGCTGGGCTTCAACCCATTGGCAGATGCGAAGGCATTGAAGGCCCCGACGGTTTCAGCTGACGGCTGGACGAAGGATTTCACCTGTACAGCTTCTACGTCAAGAACAAGGGCCATCACGGTTAGAAAGTACGCAGGACTCGACCTGGTCCTTTGTAAGCCAGCGCCGAAATTCAGGGCTACCTGGTGTCGAAACGGACTTCAGTTTATTTTGAAGACCGGCGAGGTCGTTCGAGGTCAATGCAAAACGAAGAGTTATCTCTTGGTCGGCGGGCACAGCGCCTTTCTTGACGAACGCCGCTGGGGCGGCAAGGCGGCTCTCGTGTACAACCATGCGGCCAGCAGCCGCTGTGGCAAGGAGCAGGATCGACAACAGTTTTGAGAAGGCCATTGTGGCGAGAAGAAAGGGAATCCAGCGGAAATCACATTCCGCACGCACTCCGTTTTCAAACTGTTTCCGACGGTAGCCGCATTTAGCGATATTTATGTTCTCACGGCTGAGTTTGTGACGCGATTTGGACGCGATAGATCATAGCCGTTGTCTTGGCGCTTCGCGGTACGGAGTCCCCTCGTATCACGGTGGGATTTCCACAACCTACCGAAGAAGCATTGAGCATCTCCTGACTTAGAAGATCATATGGTTCCTGCGGCGTTGATAATTCTGACCGTGCCAGGTAAACCTGTAATTCTACACTAGGCGTGCCGAAAATTACCATGAATCCAAATACATCTTGAAATAGGACATGGGGTAAAGCCGCAAGAAAATTCTCTGCGCTTGAATTTGGGCTGGCGTTGAATAGAAGTCGGGATTGGCATACATCCTTCTCCATGTGAAAAGAACTTGATCAATATAAAGTCTTCGATTGTATCCACCTCTCGAAATTCCAAAAGAAATAGGAATTTGAGGTGAACTTAACCTCTCGTACCTTTTTCACGAATCGTGGTTATCTTGGCATCAGACGAGAGTGAACCGCAGGTGAGCGTTGGGCGAATCGTTGTGAAATCGCATCTTTCATCAGGATCTGTCAATCAGCACATTCTTCCGGGACACGCTCAAACATTGACTCTGCGCCGAAAATAATCATAGGACGGAACCAATGAGGCTTCTTACGCTTATCACCCTTCAATTCCGCGTCCTTCTGAAGTTCTCTGTCAAATCATGGAACATGTTGCGTGTGACATAGAGCCGCTTGGAGTATACCCACAACCCGTCCAAACCGCGACACCACTTTGCCGGACCTCAATCATGGTCAACGGCGCTCAAAGAACACGTCCTTCGATCCGGCTCCAGGAATTTATAACCCTTCTTCTATCGGAAAATAGTTGCCGGCAGTCCGGGACTAAAATATGTTCATAGGTCCTCGTTGGTATTTTGTCTCACACAGGAGAAAAGGAAATGTTTTACTGCGGAGGTTCCTACAAGGAACAAGCAGGTAGAGTATGTGTTGTGATCAGTCGGCTTCGAGCTTCTCCTTCTCAACACACCTGCTTTAATTTATTCGGAAAATGGTCTACGCGGATGTCGACTACAATATGTTCACTCTTCCTCGTTTGTATTGTGTATCACACAGGAAGAAAGGAACGAAGGAGTGCGGGGGTTCCTACAAGGAACGAGCAGCAGGTACCTGTGCCTAGGTATGTGTTGCGATCTGTCAAGTGTTTTAGCTTCTTCTTCTGGCTATGACCAGTGACCAACCCTTGGGAACGTAACTCCGCTGCTTTAAATGCTCGCCCATTGAAAGTCTTGAGATTATTCCAACGTGATGCAGCTTTCGATATTCCACCGCCTTCTACACTCCTGGCTATCCCTGCGGTTAAAGCTTGGGCTATAGTGCTGGAAAACAAGTAGCTAATAAATGCTCTCAGTTGTGACTTTGGAACGGCAACAATTGTTCAAAATTAGGGCTGCCGCCCGTTGCCGTGACGGCAACGGCCGTCGAACAATGGCCCGTTGCGTGGGTGAGAGGGGTCCTCACGGGACGGGACGGTCAACGGCACGGCCGTAACGGGTTGTTGACGGGCCCACGGGTTGAGAATATTTTGTTTGAGCCATTTACGCGCAAAAGTGAGCTTTAACGTACTTCCTAGTTTTTTTTTGTTGCAGCATAATACAAGTGAACACATATACCAACTGTTAAGCCAATGGTAAGCACCGAGAAAGCTTCCCAACTGAATCAGTGAGTATCCCCACCTCATCATCACAACATAAAAGCCCAAGGAATGCAAGGAAATATTTAACGGACAGCCATTTGTCTAAGGGACGGGGGGAAATCACTGCCGACAGGTAGTTGAAGTTGAATGAACTTAGTTGGACATTTCCATCACAGTTACAGCAATTGCGGTGATGGTGCAAAGACTTTGTATTGTGAGGACTGGAGGGAACAGAATATATAAATAATGGAATAGAAACATATTAGAACACCTAGATGTCCTTCCTGGACCGGAACCACACTTGGAAAAAAAATATCTGCTTGCAATAAAAATTACGCCGTTGAACGGCCGTGACGGCCGTTTTTCAACGGGCCGTAGCACTGCGACCCCGTACCGCGACCGTGGCGAGTAAAAATGGCTGACGGAACGGGCACGGCACCCGTCGACGGGTGCCGTGGAACCGTCGCAACGGTCACGGGCGGCAGCCCTATGAATCAAAATGGAGTAATCCTAGCTGTAGCTGAGGGAAATCGGACAGATGCCGTAGCATTTATCACTCCCACCGCGTTTCCCGTCTTGGTTCAAGGGTGTGTAATTGCATCATTCCTTTCCTTTCTTGAGCTGTTCGCGCAGAGTCCTGCAAACAGGTACGTCTCGTTAGATACCGCTCGGAGGACGTCACCCACATTACAGAGCC